CAAATAGTTCGTAGAAAATGGCGATGGATTGGACATATCCTCGGAAAACCATCGGGAGACAGTAGACGCCACGCTCTCGAGTGGAACCCCCAAGGCAAACGTCGGATTGGGCGTCTCAGGACAACTTGGTGAAGGTCATGCGAAGAGGAAATCAGACAGTGTAAACAGAGCTTGGAACAACTGAAAAAGGCTGCTCAAAACAGAGTGCGCTGGAGGACTGATGCTGAGGCCCTATGTTCCACCAGGAACCAAAAGGAACCATGATGTCCAAAATTATGCTTTCTTTGTTTGCATTGTATAACAAAGAATATTTCAGATCCTAACCTCCCATTTATGTAGGGCCATGCGTGGGGAGCTTACAATATCTATATACTAAAAACAAATGAAAATGCTATTTTTCGGGGAGGAAGATCAAAATGTGTTAAAGCTATTATAGCAAATTTATTAAGGGTAAGTTTATTAATCCATAGGGTGTAGAGCTTTCAAACTTAATACAAGTTACATATGTTAAGCATTTGTGCTGGGAAAATTAGAAAAAGGGGTGGCTAACTTCATAACAACATGTACCATTTGTGAAAATGGGGTCGAAGTCGTTTATTAATGCCGTGTGTTTTGCAAAAAAAGTGGGAGAGGCTTACACCCACCCTTCCCACTCACACATAATTATGAAGAGCTCAGGTTTACAGCTCAGGTTTTTTAGAACTGCAATGATGTTATCCTTTAAAGTTTTAGATACCGTTATTCTTAAAAGTTATAGTATGTACATTGAACATAATCATCTAATAAACTAGATTGTTCACTTCTGTAATTAAGGCACATTATATGAAAAAAGAAAGAAAGAAAAGAATCTGTTGTTGCTATGCATGAACATGTTATAGAAATGTACATGAGCGATTATAAATACTCGAGAAATAGTGATTTGTGCACATTCCGATAGACGACTGATGTCAATCATTTTCTTCTAAAGCACTGGGCGTTACCTATTGTTGGCGTAATTGAAATATATGGCAAGCCCTTTTACTATTTATTCGTAAAATAATTTTTTCTTTCAATAAGAGAGATATCTCTTTAGCTTAGAGAGATATCTCTTTAGCTTATAGAGATATCTCTTTAACTAAAAGAGATATCTCTTTGTCCAAGAGAGATATCTCTTTGACTAAGAGAGATATCTTTATAACCTAGAGAGATATCTCTATAAGAAAAAGAGATATCTCTTTTTGCAAGAGAGATATCTCTTTTACTTAGAGAGATATCATTTTAAGCTAGAGAGATATCTCTTAAAGCGAGAGAGATATCTCTTAAAGTTAGAGAGATATCTCTTTAACAACGTTAAAAGAGATATCTTTCTAAGTTAGAGAGATATCTCTTTAGATTTTCAAAAAGAGATATCTTTCTAAGTTAAAGAGATATCTCTTAATGAAAGAGATATCTCTTTTCAAGTTAATCTTAAAATGAAATAATTATTCCTCCCTTAATACGAAAGCGAGGCTAGACACCACATGGCAGGAAGTGTAATGTTTGATGATCATATATGGGCAAGGATCAGCTATTTGTAAATAATAACGGCCGTCACTTTTGAAATTGAAATCAAGAAGAATATATATTTTTTGCAATTCAGAAAGTTTTATTTATACTTCTGTAATATAAAAGAGAAAGAATAAACAATTTAATCTTTTTATTTTAAGAAATAAAATTAATATTACCGAATTTGTGTAAAATTGTCCAACTTTTGCGCATGCTTATAAGAGATTTCCCAACCTATGTGTCAAAAATGCATTTTTTTAAAAAAAAACTTAAATTAATACTTTTTATATATGACTATTCTAAAAGATAGATGTTTACCTTACAATTATAGATAAAAATAATTACAATTGGTTATCATTAGCCCGAGAAAAATAGCCTTAAAAATGTATAACGGACGTTATGAGTGTCGGTCAACATGATGGGTTGACTTTAAACATTGAAATGTATGTAACTGTATAGAAAATATACGAATATTTTATGTTAGGTTTAACTTAAAAGTATACTCAACAGGTGCTTTCCCATAACGTCTGCGTAAAGGATTTAAATACTAAATTATCGCAAATTTAGCAAAGGTACACAGGTGTCGGTCAAATTCGTAACGTCCGTAATCTAGGGCGTAAAATGACTTGCATATGCGATATATAGAACCAGTTCGTTTTTTCTATTAGTTTTACCACACATTTGCAGAATACGTCATCAAAAGTGACCATGATACAAAAAAAGGAGGCAAAGTGGGTGAGTTGCATTGTCGGTCAACATTTCTTAGTAGATAACAGGCGTCACGCTAATAACTAAATAAGATTTATATAATTTTTAATGATAAAATGGACAAGCCATGTTCTCCAATATGTTGAAATCTATAATTGTTATTGTTTGACACAAAAGTTAAGCATTTTTCTAGAACTATTACGATCATAGAGTTCGGCAGTTATATTTTGACTAACATAAAATATACGGATGTGACAGTTTGACAGAAAACAATGTCAAACCTTAACTTCTGAAGCACAATGATTCGATTATGTAACATAGAAATTTTATGGACATATTTTTCGCTGTTTTGATTATTAAAAAAATAATTTATTTTCTTTTCAGATGCCATGCTACCAGTTCCTTATTGATTTTCTTGGCTGATTGCCTGTTATGATTTGACCATTCTTAATCTGTGCTGATACCAATTTTTTTCTTATTATGTTATTAAAGATAAAATTTTATCAGTAAACTTCAGTTGTATGTTAACTGATTAATGAAGAACAAATAATAAATTTACTAAATAAAAATTACAAAGCCCGTAGAGAGTTAAAATGTAACTACCATGAAAAACCGTAACGGACGTTATATTGTAACATCCGTCACAGTGCTTAAAAAATTCATGAAAATACTTGCAGTAGTTTTAATTATAGTATTAGCAGAATGTTTGGATGTAGATATTTGACACACAAACTTCATTGCATGTATGAAATCATGTGTATTCTTAAGAAAACTTACGAAATGCTTTAAAAATAAGCGTCAATGTAACCTCCGTAACTAGCAAACCTTAGTTTGTCAATTTGTAAAATCCATTTTTGTCATAAGGTCAAATATAACATCCGTTTATTAAACAGGATAAAAAATTGTTAAAGGGAGAAGTAATGTACCTTATTCTGCTTTTTTAAAATGAAAAACTAGTTTTATTTCCTCATGAAGTGAAAAAAACACCGAAAACACGATTTCTTTGCAGAAAGTAAGAATGATGAAAATGCTACAGCAAGAGAATTTGACGTCACCTCCGTCACGATTAATTGTGCCATATTTATTTTACAGATAGGTCATAAAAAGCTGTATTATTCATTCCAAGTGAAAGTGTGGTCAGATTCATGCATGTGGTGGTTTTTTTAACGTTTCGAGAAGGGCGAAAAAACCTCCAAAATTCGCATTAACTGTGTCAACATAACGCCCGTCACTTTTTGATCACCTATATTTGGATGCGATTTTCTTAAAAAATAAAAACGCAACTATCTTTTCTTTTTTGATTCATGAAGGAAGATATAAATATAGATGTTTTCAACTAGAAAAAGTGTAAAAATATTGACACAATTTTTTTCACTGTGACGGCCGTTATTATTTACAAATAGCTGATCCTTGCCCAGATACGGTAGATCTCTGCCTCTGGAATAGATTCAGCATGCCGCCCAATCCCAGAATGAAGTATGTAGAAAGAACTGCTAAATCCCTTGTTTGAAACAACAAAAGGATAATGACTACTTTGTTGATAAACATGCTTAAGTCTTTATATTCAGGAAAACGAAAGTAGGCTAGCAATAATCGCAACTGCGATGGACCGAATTTTCTCAGCTTTTGAAATAATCAGCTGTTTCTAATTTTAAATCTAGACAACACTGAATTACTTGTCATATTTATTTAAGTTATATTGTTAAATAGGTCAAAATTAAAGACTACTTTAATTAACATCCTCGTCGAAATCAAGTTGGAGAAATCGGGTGGGGGTCTATTCCGTTGAACAGTGAATTTTTGCTGAATATTTTTATTGGGCGTAATTAATGTTGTTTTGTAGAAAAAAGTGGGGAGATTTGCTCCCAGCCAACCACCAGCAATTCTACAATTAGCCCCATTAGGTTCTGATGTTCATGGTTTAATGCACAGGTGCTTGGGGACAGGACCCCCCCCCCCCCCCATCAGGCCCGTTGCAACGATTTCAAAAGGCGAAAGGGGGGGGGGGGGTTAGCAACTTCTCCAAAAAACAGTAATGGCTCTGAATTATTTTTCATGATTTTTTAAAGCATTTGTTGATGTATAATGCACTATAAAAATTCACAATTGATGCAATAAGTCATACATGTATATGTATCCAGAGATATATATGTCTCTGGTATCTGATGTACCCCCCCCCCCCAAATATAAATAACCTCTCTATTTATATCATTGGTATATTTTTGTACATAGCTTATTAATGCATTAATTGTGAATTTTTATAGTGCAATATACATCAACATATATGCTTAAAAAAATAAATAAAAAAAAACTCGGGGAGCCCAAAATTTTAGAGGGTTGGGGTGGGTCGTGTTCCTGTTCCCTTGAAGCACCTGTGGTTTAATTATGTACTACATTTTGTCTCTTGTCTTTTATACAATAAGCTGAACTCTGATTGATTGCAAAGATCAATAATATGCGCTAGTCATTATCCTTCAATAAATCGCACAAAAAATTAACAAATTTAAATAAATTCAGTCTAACTAAAATTACATGTAGATCTTTATTCTGCTCCAACAAGATTGCTACACATTGTGATCTAGTTGGGTCTAATTTTAATTTTTTCTGCTCTCACTAAAGGAAAGGGATCAAGACATTCTTTGATTTTGATGCAAATTCTATTGTGTGAAATGGAAATAAAAATTATAATAATGGATTGCCAAGTCATAATTGCAACACTTCTTTTATGGAAATCTATAGCTTGAACTTGTTTTTTTTTTAGAAGTTTGAAAATTTGCCTTAGCAGAATAGAAATACTTTCCTTGTCATCTGAAATGTAGGAGAATATAGGTTCCCCTTAATCTTCAGAATTTTTATGCCCCCACCATAAAATGGTCGGGGGGCATATAGTGTTACCCTGTTCCGTCATTCTTTCATTCCGTCATCATTGAATTTCCATTCATTATCTCGGCAACAGTTGTACACATTCAACTCAAATTTCATTTTGATATATGGATACGTCATAGGAATATGCAGGTCAAGTTTGAATTTGGTCATGGTATTGACAGTTATCCCCCTTGAACTTGGAAAAGATTTAAAAATTCTCAATTTCTAATCATTATCTTGGCTACAAATGTGCAATTTACAATTTGCAATTTGAAATTTTGGCTGTCTGCGGGGGCATTTGTGGTGTTACCACACACATCTAGTTTGTAAAATAAAATCCTTGCCCTTTGGTCTTTGTTTTCATTTCCCAGCAAAATTAATCTATCATGGCACATGTACATTCTCTGACAATTCCTCAGAATTTTTTTTAATATTTTTGAAATCAAATATTTCTGAAATTAAGCAAAGTTTACGGTTCAGCGCAGTCATTTAGGGTACATACCATTAATATTCCAAATCACTTTTCATTTAATTTTATTTAAATGCAAAAGGTGTAAATAATTTTATGCCAGAAATTGGCTGTTTGGTATTGACAGAAAGCAGTGACTATGGTACAATTCATTGAGTATACCTTCCATAAAGTAACCATGACTGGGAGATTCTTTTTTTGTCTCTGATATAGTGTAAAACAGGTCACTTCAAATAATTTGTGTGTTGCAGGTTGAGACATCTGAGTTGTGTCCCCTCCTTTGTCATAATGCCAGCTAGTGTAAAGCTGAGATTGATCAATGTACTCTAAGCTAACTTAGGACTGTGCTCTAGACCTGGTGTATTCCTAAGGGAATAGAGAGCCAACAGGTATTTATTCTTACTGATTGCATGACTAAATATTAATAAAATATGTTAATCATATCTTAATGAATTCCATCTGTTCAACAATCTTTGATTTACCTCATTACTTAAAAAAAAAAATGTTACACAGAGGAATTGTCCATTTCAGAAAGACAACTATATAGTTGTAAGGGTCCAATCACTATGAATCGATTTCATTGAACATTTATATGGGAATGGGATATAACTCAGTCAACAATATTAGTTTTCTTTATAATATCCTTAGCTTTCAAATTTTATACGTGATTCAGGCCACAGAAGGAAGACATGTAGTTTATGAGATCACACAAAATAAGTTTGTTTGTTTGTAGACCATTCTGCGTCATCACATTTATGGTGATGTGTTAAATACACATAAATAAATACATGTATAACTTTAATTCACTCTGTCTTACAAATTAAAACCCTTCAATATTATATACAGAAGTAGTTGATGAAAGGTTGACACCTACATACACTGTAAATGAACTTAAAATTTAAGAAATACCAGGTACATGTTCTAAGATTGAATTGTGTGTCTTTCAAGCTTGTTTACTTCCATTATGAATTAAGGTCAAGATCTAGTAAATGACTTTAGACTAACTGTTTTGTGCTAGATCTATTATGACGTCATAATCAATTTTAACTTTCTTTAACTAACTTTAATTTCAATTTGAAATCATGTGAAAAGTAATCCCGATACCTATATTCAATTTAATACTATTTTAAAGAAGAGACTAATAACATACAAATTATCGTTTTCTGAGAGACTGTAGGCAATCTGGATACATTTCCTTTGTCTGATATGGAAAAAAACTCCCGTATTCATGACTGGTTTTCTTAATTTTTCATTGAAAATGACAGTTTAAAATATGATTTTTCGTCTTGTTTATCTACAAATTATGCCCGGAAACACTTTATTTGACCAAGCTAAAATTATAAAGCATCATTAAAGGAATTTATTTCTCAAATTTGAGAAATCTGTAGGCACCTTTCATTTACTAGATCTTGACCTTAATAATTAAACCCTTAGTTTGGCCCTCTCTCACTTTCATATTTTTAGCTCACCTGAGCCGAAGGCTCAAGTGAGCTTTTCTGATCACATTTTGTCTGTAATCTGTCTGTCTGTCCATCTGTAAACTTTTCACATTTTCGACTTCTTCTCCAGAACCACTGGGCCAATTTCAACCAAACTTGCCACAAAGTATCCTTGGGTAAAGGGGATTCAAATTTGTTCAAATGAAGGGCCACGCCTTCTTCCAAGGGGAGATAATTATGAATTTGTGAAAAATTAATGGCATCTTTAAAAAATCTTCTTCTCAAGAACCACTGAGCTTGAAAATATGAAACTTATGTGGAAGCATCCTCAGATAGTGTACATTCAAGTTTGTTCAAATCATGACCCCCGGGGGTCGGGTGGGGCCACAATGGGTGTTCAAAGTTTTACATAGGAATACGTAGGAAAAATCTTTAAAAATCTTCTACTCAAGAACAGCAAAGCCATGATTGGTCATATTTAAATGGAAGCATCCTCAGGTAATGTAGATTCAAATTTGTTCAATTCATAACCCCCCCCCCCCCCGAACCACTTTTATATTTAAACTTTTCAACCTTTCAAGACTAAACTGATTTCTGCTTTTTCCTAGCCATAGTGCTCAGATGAGCGATGTGGCCACTGGGCCTCTTGTTTTTAATTTTATATTATCTATTCCTTTATTTGCTTAGCTTGACATTGAATGATCAGTTACATCATTACTACATTTTGTTATATTTATTTTTGAAATAATAATTTCACAGGTGAATCACAAGAAGCAACTACCTAAACAAAGTTGAGAATCTGAGGGTGTACTACCAAACCTATCCTGTCCTGTTTGAAGAATTCCAGGCCAAGAAAAGTGATGCACAGACTTCTGCACTCTCTGCACATTTACTTGTTTTTAAATGTCTAAAATTGTTTGAAAAAGTTTAATTACTTACTGGTACCGTGTATATGTATCCACATTTCAACAATGACAAAGTAATTTATTCCCAAGTCAATAAAACAATGTATCAGTGTTTTCAATATCTTTATTTGAATTCAAGATGAAAAGGTTATTACATGTACATACCAACACTTGTTTTTTTGTGTACTGGTAATACATGCTATGAAAAATTGTAATATCATAAAGTATAGTCGCCCTGATGCTTATACTTATGTGACTTTTTTTATTTAAGAGGTCTTCCCAAGTTAAGTCAGTAAAATCTAAATCTGCAAAAATTCTATCATTAAGGATTCAAAAATACCTTCCAGTTATGGCTGAATTGTCATGGATTCTACCTGCATGTAGACTATAATTGAACTATGCCTATATAATTCAATAACTGTGAACAAACTCCAACATTATACCCCCTATACATTTTTTTTCTGAAAATGCCAATATCAATCATCTAAATGTGACCTTGAACTTGCCAAAATGATACTGGTTAAGAAAGAAAAGATGCATCTTCTATTCACCATAAATCTTTAAATAAAAGAGAGATATTTACTGTTTCTCCATTAAGACATTATAGACCTGACATGAGCAATGTTTTTTGGCCAATGGCCTTGAACTTGCCACAATATCACGGGTAAAGGTTATGATGTACTTTCAGCTTACAAATAATCTTTGAAGTTTCCAGTTTCAATACTTATCCATAAGGGAGTAATGAAATGAAAACAAATTTCACACATTTACTGCCAGTAATCTTGACATTGGATAAGGTCATGAAACACCATTTAGTCATAAGCAATCTTTGTGTCAACTATCATTTGCAAATTATGCATTTGACAAAGGTAATACACTTTTTCTGCCAGTTACCTTGAACTTGCTGAAAAATGACCTTGATTTAAGATCAGTCATAACCGCAGGTCATGCTCAATATTTGCGATAAGTATGAGCCTCTAAATGTTCTCAATTACAAGATATAGTCAAACAGGAATTATAGATTTTTATAAATTTTTATATTATAAAATCACCTCAAACTTCATCAAATAACCTTGGGTCAAGGCCATCACACATATATTCAATTTATGCATGAGGCACAAACTTCCAATGCTTCTTCAATAGGAAATCAGGGTTTGGGCTACAGTCAGCCTTTTCATTCAGCCCTCACTCAAAAAAGTGTAAGGTAAATATGAACAACATAAAGAAAAGAAAATGAAAGAAAAGACAAAAATTTTATATTACTTATAGATGAATGAAAAATGAAACTTATACTTGTGTATTGGGAACATGTCTGAGAGAGGAACAAATGACAACTCTGCATAGGAGATTGATATCCTACAAGTTTAAATAAGGTCCACAGTATCAGTAAACAATAAAAAACTATACTAACATCACATGTAATTTTTTTTTTCTGTAGCCAGAAGATTAATAATAGGACAATAATTTCTTCTTGGGTTGCAGTTTTGTTGAAGTGTATACAGTGAATTGTTAAATTATGGTCACTTGACATAGGTGAAGTAAAACCTCTCTTATTGATAAAACTTGGATATTTCAGAGTTCCACAGATCCATATAAGGCATTCAGGTGGGTTCAATTTCTGGTGGCCAGATAGTTAAATTGGTAGAGCAAATGACTACTGATTCAGGGGGCCCTGACTTGAATCCTGGTCTGGCCCATACACCCCATTGCTTATCTCTTTTCTGTCTATGCAAAGAACTTGACAATGCAGACTTTCCCTCAATGGTAGAAGTGCTTGTCTCTGCAGACTGTACTTGTGACCTACACATACACAAGGAAAAATCTTTTAAGACTTTAAGAGAACATAGTGTCTTTTTGAATTGATCTATTTCACGTTTCAATGTTGTTAACAGCATATTTCTAAGTTATAATAAAACAAGAGGCCCATGGGCCACATCACTCACCTGAGCACATTGGCTAGGCAAAAGCACAAATTAGTTCAGTATTGAAAAGATTAACCGGGGGGGGGGGGGGGCTTGAATTTTAAACTACCTGGTGATACTTCCATGTCAATAAAACAAATGGCTTTGTTGTACTTGAGAAGATTTTTAAAAATTTTCACATATATTCCTTTGTAAAAATTTGATCCCCCATTGTGGCTCCTCCCTATCCCAGGGGTCATCATTTGAACAAACTTGAATCTACACTACCTGAGGATGCTTCCATATCAGTATGACTGAACATAGCTTTTCTGTTCTTGAGAAGAAATATTTTTTCTATATGTTCTTATGTAAAACTTTCGATCCCCCATTGGGCCCCACCCTACCCCTGGGGGTCATCATTTGAACAAAATTGAATTTACACTACCTGAGGATGCTTCCATATAAAAGTGACTAATCATGGTTTGTTGTTCTTCAGAAGAAGATATTTTTCTATATATTTCTATTTAAGACTTTCATCCTCCATTGTGGCCCCACCCTACCCCCGGGGGTCATGATTTGAACAAACTTGAATCTACACTACCTGAGGATGCTTCCATATAAAAATGACTCATCATGGCTTTACTGTTCTTGAGAAGAAGATTTTTAAAGATTTTTCCTATATATTTCTAGGTAAAACTTTGATCCTCCATTGTGGCCCCACCCTACCCCCTAGGGTCATGATTTGAACAAACTTGAATCTACACTACCTGAGGATGCTTCCATATAAATATGATTCATCATTGCTTTGCTGTTCTTGAGAAGAAGATTTTTTAAGATTTTTCCTATATTATTCTATGTAAAACTTTGATCCTCCATTGTGGCCCGCCCTACTCCCAGGGGTCATGGTTTGACCAAACTTGAATGACTGTACACTACCTGAGAATGCTTTCATATAAATATGACTCATCATGGCTTTGCTGTTCTTGAGAAGAAGATTTTTAAAGATTTTTCCTACATATTTCTAGGTAAAACTTTGATCCTCCATTGTGGCCCACCCTACTCCCAGGGGTCATGATTTAAACAAACTTGAATGTACACTACCTGAGGATGCTTCCATATGAGTTTCATCTTTCCTGGCCCTATAGTTCTTAAGAAGAAGATTTTTAAATGATGCCATTATTTTTTCACTAATTCATTATTATCTCCCCTTGAAAGAGGGCGTGGCCCTTTATTTGAACAAACCTGAATCCCTTTACTCAAGGATACTTTGTGGCAAGTTTGGTTGATATTGGCCCAGTGGTTCTTGAGAAGAACTCGAAAATGTGAAAAGTTTACAGACAGACAGACGGATGCCGGACGAAATGTGATCAGAAAAGCTCACTTGAGCTTTCAGCTCAGGTGAGTTAAAAATACATACACATGTAAAAATTAACTCGCACTTTCAGCTCAGGTGAGTTAAAAATACATACACATGTAAAAATTAACTCGCACTTTTTCAGGTAATCATATTAACTTGTTACAATCACTGGAATCTTGGACATCCTTCGCATTCGAAGACAAGTGTCACAGAAAGTGTGTTGGACATACCCTTGTTGCACTTCATATCTGAAACAATGACAGAAAAAATTTGAAGGGGATGTTTCATTAATCATTACATGTAACTGGTCTTTTCAAATTAAATACAGTGGTCTGCAACTGCACTAGAAAAACATGAAATCAAAAGGCCCATGGCCACAATGATCACCTTAGTCACTATGGCCATGTTGTTCTTTATAAGTAGATTTCCCCCCCCCCAATCTTCCGAAGTAAAACTTGATTGTTTTGCCTGTTCTAGCTGGCTCAACCCTAGCCCCGGAGATATGAGGATCCCAGCTTCCTTAGAAATATTACTTATCTTTTTATTGTTCTTGAGAAGAGATTTTTAAAGATTTGTTTCCATATATATTCCTTTGTAAAACTTTAATTGCTCATAATGGCCCCACCATACCCCCCATGTCATAATTTGAACAAATTTGATTGAACGTACAATACACAACCTAATGCTTCCATGTAAATACAGTTGAACTTCAGTATCGAGAACACTGATATCTCAAATACCATGGATATGTCGAAGTCTGAATTGCTTATTGTTTAAGTAATATACCCTTGATACCTTGAATCCTCAGATATCTCAAAGTTTTTTCTTGGTCCAATCGAGTTTGAGATAATGAGATTTTACTGTATGAACAATTATGCCTTAGCTTGATTGAGAAGATTCTATAAAAAATTCCTACATATTCTAATGTAAAACTTGATCACCCATTGTTGCCCCATACTACCCTAGAGGGTCAATTAAGCTAGTATGAATGATTGTGAATCTACACTATGTAATAAAGCTTGCACATAAGTTTCAACTCACCTGGCCCAGTGGTTCTTGAGAAAGATTTATATTTATCAAATATGTCATAAAATTTTCACTAATCATCTATTATCTCCTATTGAAAGAGAGCGGGACCTTTAATTTGAATATCTTTCATTTGATCCACAAATTTAGATCAGAATTCAAAGCTCAATTGAGCCTTCAGCACAGGAAAGCTAAATATGTTTCAAAATTAAGGGAACAATCATTTCATTCTAAGAAGGGGGGATAGAGGGCTATTTTTCAAGTCAGCTTATTTCTTTCCATACCAGTGAAGGACAAACTAACTACTTTCAAGATGATAAATACAGAAAATTATATATATTTTTTCTTCACTTATTAACATTTTAATCCCCCCCCTTGCACACACACACACAAGGGGAAAGGGGGGGGGGAGAGAAGAACAAATTATTTGTTTTCAACATTTGTTCAGATTATTTATTTCCAAAATCTGCAAGTCACTTCCCCCTTTCAGAATCAAATGGTCTACTCGCTTTCCACAGGCACTTGTTTCTGTAATACTTTTTTTAACCCATAGTATGATAGTATATTAATAACATAAGGTATCCAACTCGTATGCAGGTAACGATCACAGGGGGTGCTTCCGGAATGTAAACAATGTTAATAAAGAGAAAGAAATATTTGTAGATCTACTAAATTGTATCAGTCATCACGATCATGGGTTTTAAAATATATACCTTTTTAATTTATATTGTTTACATTTCGGGAGTAAGCCCTAGCTGTGATACCTTTACCATGTTTCATGATCGGCTAAGTTTCTTACTCTGAACTTCTTTCCATTAAATCAGTTGATC